GTGCCAACAAGATGATAAATAAATAATTATGTAGTAAAAAAGTATTAAAATTTATGCATTTTAATTGACCAGCTGATCGACGGGCAATAATACCAATTTGACTGCCGGGCGGGTGATTTGACCAGTACTAGTCAGAACTCGCGCAACACGAACGGTGCTGTCGGCCCCCGGCAATACTTCCGTTATACGGTCAAGTCGCCAACTCAACGGAGGACATTGGTTGTCTATCACCACGACCATATCATTAATTTTTAAATTAGGTACGCTACCAGACCATTTCGACCGTTGTTGGAGGGTGGTCAAGTATTCATTTGACCACCGTCTCCAGAACGCTTGGTGGCATTGATCAACTAACTTCCAACGGTCGCGAACATTACGTACATTGTCGGGAGTTGATCTAGGGGGAACTGTAAGCAACGGCTGGCCTATTAGAAAATGGCCCGGAGTTAGGCAATCTAAATCGTGTGGATCATTCGAAGCGGGAGTTAAGGGGCGTGAGTTGAGGATGGCTTCGATGCGGGACAAGATTGTAGAAAATTCCTCGAACGTGAAAACATGGGTGCCAATTATGCGGACGAGCAACCGTTTCGTCGACCGCACGGCGGCCTCCCATAACCCGCCGAAATGGGGAGCGCTCGGGGGGTTAAAATGCCACACGCAGTTGGACCGGGAGTTCGCGATGGACACTTGTCCTTCCGGACTATTAATTAACGCCTGTAATTTTTTGTCCGCACCGACAAAATTAGTACCGTTGTCGGAATAAATATCACTCGGCAAACCTCGTCGGGCGACGAATCGGTCAAAAGCAGCTAAGAATGCGTCGGTCGTTAAATCTGACACGACTTCAAGGTGTACGGCCTTGACTGAAAAACACACAAAAACCGCAATGTAGATTTTGTAAGTGCGAGACTTGCGGAGTCGAAGCTCACGCATCGTCAAAGGTCCGGCATAATCGATACCGACCCGAGCAAACGGACGACATTGTTGTACCCGCGCCGCGGGCAAATCAGCCATAAATGGCTGGACCGGTTTGGCGGTCAATCTCACACATACTACGCATCGTGACAGAACCTCATGTAAAACTGATCGGACCGACACGACCCAATACTTACGCGAAATAAGAGCCGCCACAACTCGTGGACCCGAATGACCTGTTACCTTATGCCATTTTTCACATAACAATCGTGCAAAATACGATCTTTTAGCCAATAATACCGGATGCTTACAATCGTACGTTAGCGAGGAATGTCGCAGCCGACCCCCCACTCGGATTACAGCGTCCGCATCAATAAAGGGGCACAAACGTGATAACGGTTTCGACGACACACGGACATTATTGGACAATTCGCGTCGTAGATTGGCAAGGTGAATCCGCTGTGATTCTAAAACGAGAACCTGGGTGGCGTGATCAAGCTCCGACTTAGATAGAAATGCGGGTGGACGCGAAGTGGACTTACCGTTACGGCATAATGAAATAAAGCGTATAACGTGCGCCGTCACTCGGACCATTCGATCAAAACACGAAAATACAGTGAACCATTCGACAGGCGCATCATCAGCTCGAACGGCACATACAATTGGTCGCACTTCGGGCAGCTCAGAGATATCACTTGGAGGGGGGGGACATGGTTTCCAATCAGACGGATCAGTGTAGATTATAGGTGGCCCCTGCCAATATAACGAAAATTGTGCTAACTCGGACGGCGTAACGCCCCGCGACGCGCAATCGGCAGGATTTAAAGAGGACTCAACATGATGCCACTGACAATTCGGCAACAAGACTTGGATTTGGTGCACGCGATTCGAGACGTATGTCTTAAAAGAATCGTGGTGAACCGTTAACCACGATAATACTATTGTCGAGTCGGACCATGCGTGAGTGCCGACTATATTTAATAGCGATGTGAGCGCATGGCTCAGACGTCCTAGCCAACGAGCTAATAATATCGCAGCGTTCAACTCGAGTCGTGTCACGGTTAATGCCTTTAAGGGAGCTAATTTCGTTTTTGTACCTAATAAAAAAATACAACTATCCGGTGGGGCGTCCAAAATACGCACGTAAACAACAGCTGCGTAACCGCGTTGGGACGCATCGCAAAAACCTAACAGCATACACGGCGCGCCATTACGCGCTTGTATGTATCGTGGAACACGAACGGTGAGTAAAGACGGCAGGTCAGCGACGAAGGCGGCCCACCTTGATTGAATGTCAATTGGTAAGGGAGCATCCCTTGACAGCTTCACGTTCCATGTCTGCTGCATAATTGACTTTGCCAAAAACGTGGCCGGCGCGAAAAGTCCCAACGGATCAAATATTCGTGCGACTAATGATAATATACCTCGTTTGGTGTATACCGGCGCGGGGTCTAGACGGAGCGCGCAACAAAATTCGTCTGTCTCGTGATGCCACTCGATTCCTAATACCTTAATACTGAACGCATCGGCCGTGTCAAATGGTAACGGGCCTGACCCACGGCAATCAGCCGGAATGACCCTTAAAATCGAGGCTGTATTCGTCGCCCACTTTTTTAATTCTAGCCCGGATTTACTTAATACTGAAATCAAATTCGATTGAAGTTCAAGCGCCTGGGCTTCAGAATCTGCACCCACACAGATATCATCGACGTACGTTTGATATTTTAACGCATGGCGTACTAATAAAAAATTATCGCAGTCATCGGACGCGATTGATTGCAACACGCGCAACGCAAGGAAAGGCGCACAATTAACCCCATACGTCACAGTATTAAGTACGTAATCTTGAAGACGATCGTGTGGGGACTCCCTCCACACTATGTGTTGGTATTTTCTATATTCGGGTAATATCAAAATTTGCCGATACATTTTTACCACGTCGGCGGTGAATGCGTGACGGTGAACTCTAAAACGCGTTAAAATGTCAACGATATCTTGTTGTAGTTTCGGGCCAGGTAATAAGCAATTATTTAATGACGGTCCGCGATAACTCGTCGCGGACGCGTCGAATACGACGCGTAATTTCTTATCTCCGTCGTCGGGACGGTACACTGCATGATGTGGAATATAATACACGCCCGGTGATGAGGTGATCGTCATATGCCCTAGTGATATATACTCGCGCATAAAATCTATATATAATTTGCTAAGGTCCGGGTCGGCCGTCAATTTCCGCTCGAGTGATTCGAAACGCTTAATGGCTATATCACGTGAACCGACGAACATGTTGTCGGACACCGATGATCGGAATGGTAAAGGTACTGAAAAGCGTCCCGAAGGCAATCGATCACATTGCTCGCGAAATATACGTTCACATCGCCCTTCGTCGGTAAACACTTCGGGAGCGGGCTCGGGCTCCTCCACTCGCCAAAAATTGTCCATTAACTGTTCGATCGAAACGGTGAGAGAAACGGGCATCGAATGATAAGGGCCTACATCAGCACCGGACACCGGCCCGATCAGTACCCAACCGAAAATCGAACTGAACGCGGCAGGGAGACATTCGTCGACTACGATTTTCTTACCATTCATTATGAACGGATACACATCACTGCCTAACAATATATCGATGGGGGCGGCGACATTAAATGCGGGATCGGCCAGTGCGAGATTCGAATACCTATCTTTTATACCAACCGGCAAATTATTACGCGGCAAGTCAGCCGTGATCGACGGCAGAACCCACGCGTGTACGGCTAAAACCGGCTCGACTGCGAAACGAGGTTGAACGGCAACTTCAGCGCGACCTTGCACGTCAACAATAGGGACTCCACCCAGCCCACTGACAGGTGCTGTCCAACGTGCACATTTGAGTCCTAGCCGCTTGGCACACGCCGATGTGACAGCACTAATTTGCGACGCTGAATCAATTAATGCTCGCAAGGTTTGCCAAGACCCCGCTTGGTTACGCGCGTGTACTAGCGCTGTACCTAACACGACAGACGTGTGGTTTGATTGCGGGAACACAGTGGACGCGCACAATGTCGGGTCTGGCGACTGAGCGTCCTCCCCATTAGGGATATCCCCCGAATTGGCCGAATTATGAACGAGATGGTGGTGCTTGCGCTTGCAATGGTGGCATCGAGTTTTGGACTTACATTTATCAGCCCAGTGGTCGGCACTAAGGCACACAAAGCATAACTTATTTTCTCGTACGCAACGGACTCGTTCTTTAACATCCCATGATTTAAAACGTTTGCACAATTCTAACGTGTGGGACTCTTTACAACAAGGACAGGCCTTGTTAGGGCTAGTGATGACTAATGACGCGGGATTAGACGTCAGTTGTTTTTGATACCGATCTCCCCCTTTGCGCGGTTGACCGCCCTGAACTGGTTTATATGGCCCGGAATTACTATTGTTGTGTTTGCGTGGCGGTTCACCGACTAGCTCTAAAATAGCTACACGTGTCTCAACGAAAGTTAACAGCTCACTTAGCGACGGAAAATCGGAGGTTGCGTTCGACTCGAACTCCTTACGGGTGGACAACGGTAACCGTCGGAACGCTAACGCGAATAATAAAAACGACCCGAGGTCCGGAATGTTAAGGGCCTTCAACAATGATACAGATTCACTGAAAACGCTAGAAAAATTTGTCAACTCCTGGAGTGACTCCTGAGTGGATGACGGGACACTTAACAATTTCTCTACTAACGACGCTGCCACTAAACGTGGACGGTTAAATCTGCGCGATAACGTCAACCATGCCAATTCATAGTTATCAGACGCGACGGGTATGCCGCGCACCGCGTCAGCGGCGGGGCCATGCAGGCAGCCTATCAAATGATACATTTTGTCTATCGGTGCCAACTCGGGCCTATGATTGTCAACGGACGCCATAAATCTGTCGCGGAACGTAGGCCAGTACCTAAAGTCCCCATCGAATTTCGGCAATGGTATTTCTGGTAGCCGCGAAGTCGAACTGTTTTGAACAATGGGTGTTTGTAACGGACCAACCTTTGACGTGGGATTCGAATTAATAAAAGAGAAGTCTACGGCCGCCGCACCCTTCGGGATCAACTTTTCCGCGATCGCTTTCGACTCAGAGATGAGCGCTCGGACCTCACCGGGCAGGTCCGCAGCATACTCGTCCGACTTGTCGAGTTGTATTAAATAATCGAGAGCGGCATCGTCTTCAGACCTAAATTGACTCCATAACATATCCAAATCCGTGACAGTAACCAAAAATTGGGGAACTACGTCGGGGTTACTCGTGGCGCGTAGCGCAAGCGCATTCACTGACCGAATACTAGTCACCGCAGCCGCGCGCTTTATCTCCGCGCGCGTTCTCAACCGAGAAACACGCTCAGACTCCTGTTCGTCAATCATGATAAATATCGATCGCCGATCAACAATGTCAGATTACAAACGTACAAACCACAAGAAACAATTTTGTTTTAAATACACGTTACAATTAATATTATTAATCTACGGCAACACTAAAAATTAATTTAAGAAAAATGTAATTGGCACCGTACTATGATGTCCCACTACCGATGCTTACTGAACCCTCCCGGGGTCCTAACCACGCTCTGCTACCAAATGTTCTCGCTGCGACAGAGCTTACGATATATCTGCAGTTTTCTGCCGCAACTTGCATCGATGGTATACAAGGTCCGGGTGACCAACTTATGAATATATATAAAAACAAATGCTCAGGTTCCAATATAATAATATCACTGCCCACGCCTAGCGCACAGGATATATATATTACATGTAAATTATATGTGAACAAAGACGTAATAATAATAATATGCGGGCGCCCAACGTATTTGAATACAAAATCATAAAATATAAGAATAATAATTGGGCGTATAATAATACAAATTCCTGGTATATGCGCTTATAATATAGTAATCTTCAATGCCACAAGTATATAAAAAAATGTATATAATAAGAATTTAATAATAATAATAATTGGGCATTATGGTAGTAACATACAACTAATACAGCTTTACTGGCCACTAAACACGAGTTGGACAAGAAGTGTGAATACAGTAAAAATATAACCTGAAGGCGACAGCACTGGATGATCTAGGCGATATGGCCCTCTGACGCAGACGACGACTGCAGTTGACGATGGCAACCTTAGCTGGGCATACTCGATGACAGTTCAAAGTGGCAAAATTGACACCTCATGCTCACATGAGGTTTCGTATGCGACACGCAAACGTACACGGTGATCGAGCACGTTGCTCACAGATCAACCGTTGGGAAAAGACAAAAGCGCCGGGCTGTCTAGCGGCTCGTCCATCGGCTGATGAATTGTCACCAGACAGCGGAGGGGGGAGCTTGCCGGATGCAGCTTATCTTTTGCCACACCTGTGATATCCCGAGGCGACAATATATATAATTTGCCAAAAGGAAAAACCGTTCCGCGATCGAACAAAAATAAAAACGTACTTCCTATTAAAATGATACCTACCGTAGTCCGTAATGACTTTCAGCAATTATTAGTATATTCGATTCAAAGTATCATTCTATTTCGACAACTTTCGACGTCTTTATCGATTTTGGGAAAATAAAATAATTGTCCAGTAATTGTTAATTAGAATGAAAACTACCCATGTTATTTTGTAATATTAATCCTCATTATATTTTTAATCTTTTTTTCAATAATCGCCTTTTCCTCGAATACTGATAAAATGTCATTACAATACAAATAAATTCTTATAACCTATTTTTATTTTAAATTATTAGTTAATGGAATCTGGAAATTGGAAACAAAAAAATTTGCAAGACTGCAAGAGTCTTGCAGTGATGGTCTTGTTTTGGTCTTGGTCTTGCAGCTTCGGTATTTTTTTGGTCTTGTTCTTGCAAGCCTAATCTTGGTCTTGGTCTTGCAGCAAGAGTCTTGTGACTAACTTATTAAACTCGTAACTATGGGTGAGTTTCTAAGTGACCAAATAATGCAAATCGTTCGTTTCATCAGTGATCAATGGTATTTATTGGGTTTTTAACGGTTCTCTGCGTGCGACAACTTCACCGTTGTTTATTTTATTGAATAAAACGATATATACAAATATGATATGTGAGCATATCATTACAATATTTTTCTCATTCAAACATCGAGTTTAATAGTATCGTAAGTATAATAAACTAGATATTTCACTACTCTGAATTCGATACGAAATGTATAAATGTTGTTTGGAAGCCTCCAGTAATGGCAATCGGAAAAAAATCCCCAAGGCAATACCTAGAAGCAGACAGACTATGTAATTCCAAGTGCCATGTTCCTAAATCTTGTCCAAATAAATAGGTAATAATAAAATTATAATTTATTATGGAAAAAAAATGACGATACTTGTTAATTTTTTTTTGTTATTCCATCAAAATATTCGTAATATTATGGTACATTAATAAAATTAATAATGATTATTTAAAAAAAAAATCAATACTATAAATAGGTAATCATTATAATTTATAATAATAATAAAAAATAATATTAGTTGGTTAAAAAAAAAAATTTTGGTTTACAATATTCCACATTGTCCATAACATATAAATAAACTTTAACAACTCAACAAAGCATATTTTGGGGACTTTTTTCTAGATTCATCAGATAGCGAGAGCGTCCCGAGAAAGAAAAGGCCATACTCTGACCTAAGCGCGTCTCGATTCATTTAGAGTTACCCCTTGTGAACCACAAAGAGATAAACTAGCATACACTCTAAATTTAATTAATTTTATAGGACCCATATTATCAGTGGTAATATGACGGACGCTTTTAGGATATACCAAAATTATTAGCGCCGAGGAAATTACCTAACCTTATATATAGTGTACATCTATACATGTTATTTTTAAATTTTAGTTTTTTATTGCCAACAAATAACAAATGTCACCGGTTTAAGTGTCGTTGCTCTCGGTTGCTAACGCTCAATTATCGCAAAGCACAATATTACCTGCTTTTGGGCTCTTAATTGCACCTGAACAAAAATGTATTTCTTTGTATTCAACACACCAATTAAAATATAAAATATAATTGTACATATATTGCTTACCATTGAGCTTGAATGCGATTGATCGAAATTAAATACTCCTGATCATATTTTAAAATACCAATATCTATTTGATGATAGGTTAGGGTATTCAGGTTACAGTTTAATATATAATTAGTTAAGTCCGACTCGCATTAATTATCAAAATAATAATAACAAATGTACAGTATATTAATAGTTGGATCATATGACAATACATATTAACTCTCGTTTTACACATCAACGTTGTTCTTTCGATTTGTCGTTATTGCTGTTCGCGAGATTTTTCGTCACGGCTGTCGTCGTAAATCTTCAGGTCTTTCACGTGATACCAAACACCAATGTCCAGTATAGTACCGATCAGCAGAAAACCTGCGGAAATCGCATGCATTACTGAGACGAGTAATCAAATAATAACAATAAAGAATTTGTCATATATAGGCCATATAGGGTTTTAAATTTTTAATATTTCAATAAAATTCTTCAAATATTTTTCTTCTTTTAAACGTGTTCGGTTATAGATGATTAGAAATAATATATTTATTACACACAGAAAACATCGATGGTGAATAAATTATCAGTTATCAACCAAGGTTTACAAATTACTTTAATAGGTATGTTATAATAATTTATTATAAATTAGGTTTGTTGAGAAATATCAAACATTTTTTCATCCAAGTCATGTAAGTGTTAGTACTGGGTACCTAACTTCTTAAATCAAACCATTCATGTCAAAAAAAAAAAATTACTTCAAATATGCTTATTGTAAAAAAACAACTTTACAAATTGTATTAAAAATTATGACCACTGCATGTAGTAAGCAAATGTTAACAATCACCAGTGTATTATGATAACATTACCAAAAATCATAGCAAATATTGCCAAAGTGGTCTTTACAAGATCATAGATATACCAGAAATGTACCATTAATGTTTGGTAAATTTTTCGTCACACGTAAAGGCTATGTATACTACTTAAAAAATATTTTCATATTATTTTTTAGTATTAAATCGTTGATACCGATGCGTTATAATATTTCTATCACAATGCTGTCGACTAAGCACTTTCAATCTGTTTTTGAGACGTTTGGTACCACTTAAGACTATCTGATTGTCAAACGTATATATATTAGCAATATACTTACTAGCACCGGTAAAGTTCAAGTAGTACTTCAGCCGCTTACCGTCGTACAGCCAACAATTACCATCGGCACCACACTTGCCGCCCCACACTATGCAAGTTGCGTCTACGGAAACAATAATTTACAACCAATATGAGTTTAGTTATTAATTTATAATTATTTTATTTTGGCACGTGAATGCGTGATGCGAGATTTACAATTCTTGTACTATTATGCTGATGAGTTGCATGAAATATGTATACATTTAATGGCGAATCATGGGCCACTAAACTATATGTTAAGCCTGTTAAGGGACCCTGAGCTCACAATTGATTCGTTAAATGTTTAGTGATTGTTCATGCAACTCGGTATTAGACTTCGATAATTTGGTAATTTACTTACCGACAATCGTTCCGTATAATATGGGGCCAGGCATGAACGCCACCAGGGCCATTACCACTTCCGAGAAACCCAACGATAGTGACTTGTCCTCTTGTTTCACACACCTATAATACGTCAAACATGTAAACATAATATAAATCCTAGGCATTAAAGAATTAAGAGTTAAAGTTGTTGCTTTTTACTAAATTTCATAAATAATTACTTTATCTGAATCTTCGAATTAAATTGTTTTCTATTTTAATTTTTTTTATGTTACATTTTATTTTCATAATAAATTAATTTTATATATAAGACATACTTGGTAAATTTGTAAAAGTATAAATTAATTAAAGAGCGATTAAAATGCAATTTTTGAGATTGGAGGTTACGTTAAGATTTTAAAATGTTATTATTTTTAACTCATATTTGTATTACGGTACCTTAATTATTTCATATGATATTTTTCGTATAATATTGTTCAAAATTGTAGAAATTGGCAAGTGGCAATGTTGCAGAATTCGTTATGCTTAAAAGTTAATGTCTTAATGGTGAAGGTTTTCTTTTGTATTTCTATATCCTTTGATAGCTTGATACACCAACACATTTTTTCAATCGTATCGTAAAAAAGTGTCTTATGCAGTTATGCTCAATCTCGTGATGATTGCCTTTTTTGATCAATGTCAGTTATTTGTTTTAATAATGTATAATTGTAATTTAAAAACAAAAGAAATGTATGTTGATATAAAAAATAACAAGTATATTTTTTATTTAATACCTATGCAAGGTGTAACAGAATGACCTGACAAATGAACTAACTTTTGTTCTAATCAATATTTAATATTTTTATAGATGCCTCCGCTTCAAGTACCTATTGCATAGAATTTTTTATTTTCATTTTTAGTACCTACTGAAAATTAACAATTTAGATTAGATTAATTTTTTTGAGAAAAATATAATTAATAGCCAATTTTTAAATTTAATTCCTAGAAAATGTTGAAGGTAAAAACAATTATTAAATTCAATTAACTTATCAATATTTTCTTGGAGAAATATGAAACGCAATAACAAGATCCAAAATATTCTTTTGGGATATTTTTAGATATAAGCAAATCTTAAATTGCTCACTATTCATATAATTTTACTATAGTATCAATTTTTCATTAGGTTAGATCTTTTTGTAAAACCCTTGTAACCTAGTTTTTAATTTGCCTAAATTATATTTGTATTTGAAATTTGAATATTAAAATGTTTGAAAATATAAATAAAAAATTAATAAACACGTATAAGTATGAAAATATAAAAATCTAGCACGTTTAGTATTGGTATAATACTAGGAATAATAATATATACGTTTTAGTTTTCAAGGTTAGGCTAGATTTGAACAAGTAAACATAATATCGTGTATTATTGTACATATTATTTGTATATGAAACAGATCCGTTTCCGTATGACCATATACATGTATCCATATTACGCAGATTTCGTATAATAATACTAAAAATAATAATAATATTAATGTTTTAACATTTTGAAGTGTGAATTATTATTTTACCATCATCGCCCACAGAGTGAATAATATAATATAATAATTAATTTACAATTTTTTTAAAATAATAATGACGTACATTTATTATTTACGTCATACGTAATTCACACAAGCTATAAAAAATCATTGACAGATAGCAGCACATATTTCATTATATGTTCGAAATCTGTACAAAAATAATCACAATCATTAAAATTCGATGAACACCAAAAGTCCATAATTCAAAAATGACAAACAAAAAGTTCTCAGTTATAAACCTATTTTCTCTTTATAACTGAATCATATTTGTTAGTCGTAACCAATCATTTTAAGTTTGAGGCTGTTTTAAAAAATCTATTTCACAATTTTTGAAGCCTACATTACCTACACCATTATTATTTCGAATCAACAATTTACTACCAACGGCTATTGCGCGTTTTACAGACCTGAACTGAATGATGGTGTTGCCCGAACGACCGGTAGATGACAAGAACCTCATCACGCCCATCAGAGCGAGAAAAATGATGAAGTCTTGACCGCAGGCAACCGGACACACTCCCTCTGTGGCTGTGCCCAAGCCACCGATACAGGTGCAGTTGCTGTAGGCCTGAGAGATACAACGAATGCAACGTTCTTATTGTACAAGATAATTTTATCGTGACGATGCAAAAACAAAAGCTTATTCACCTTTACGTTACCATCGACGATCGTCTCCGTGGTACATCCCGCGTAGCACGGAGAGTAAAACGTGGTAGATTGGTCAAACGAACAGACAGGATTGTAGCTCATCGATTTCCCGCAGTTGCAGCCCACGTTGCAGTCCATCGTCAAATTCCATCTGATCGGAAAACGGTAAACAGATATTATTATTATCGTGCTTATAAATGTATACACATGAGGCGCAGTGTCTCAAAACACGTGCTGTGACCGCCATCACTGGCCATTGAAACTAGTTCCCGGATAGGTGAGGTGAGCACCCTAGCTGGTTCTTAGGGGCAGTTCCTTGCCCCACATAAGCGTGTTCCAGACCAACCATAACCTGCCCAAACAGCAAAAACCTTACGAATAAACCACGCAATGGCCTAGGTTGACTCGGGTTTTAATAGAAAAACTGTATACACAGGAGTATATTACACAATGTATTTGACAAACTCACCAAGAAAGTTATAGAATATAGATAATAATATTATATGGCTGTGGAACGGCCTAAAATAAACAACACAATACGCCGAGCTAGAATGTTTTTGAGGATTAACGTGACTAAAATTACGATCTTGAAACTTGAGGTTTACTGGAGTGGAAATTAATAAGCTTGTACCAAGGAATCATTCAATTAAAAAAATTATAGCGCTCTATTGGTGAATTTCGGTTTTAGTGTACCTACCTCAGCTCACCGGCAATCAACATATCATATTACTCACCCACATGCAAATGTAAGTTAGTCAATAGATCAAAATATTCAAAATAAAGTTATCAACGGCAAATAGCTACGAAGTTGACAAAAATATAAGTACTCCCAAAGTCCCAAAGGTCTGACTTAAAAAATGTAAAAATGTTTGAATGTATTAACAAGATTATTTTCAGTCGGTAGGAACACTTTTTCAATTTAAGTTATTTCTTGGCTTTAATAAACATTTTAAATTGTATCAATTTTTAAATATTTTACATTAAATATATTAAAAACTGTTGAAAAATAATGAATATGTGCTCTAGCAGATGCAAAGTAAACTTATTCTTTATCAGATCAAAAACCTTTAAATTTTATAAACCTAACTACTAGAAGTAGGTACTTTAATTTTTTTCATTTGTTAATGACGTTTGGTGATAAATGGATAGGGTTTTCAGGGGCCTTGAGGAATTTTTTTAGGTAGCTATGAGGTAACGGAACTAGAAATTTGCTTACTAACGTTTTGTCCGCATTCCACTGGCCGTGTAAATCTTCTGCCGCGCACCCGAGAAAGATGTACGCGAAGTGACCAACCACCTCCAAGGCCTCCGTAATGAAGTTCCACATGGCCAGCGACCTTGGCGATGGTTTGAATTTGGATATGACCACTCCGGATGTCACAATACCCAAACCCGAACTCAAAATGCCTATGGCGCCTGATGCAAAGTTGGAATGTGCTGCCGTCTGTCTGAACTGGGTCTCCATGTACTTAGGCATGAACGTCCAATACCCAATTAGGCCCAACACGAAAAACGAGTTGCTCGCTGAATTAAACACTAGTATTTTGTTTGACAAAATCCGTTTTAAAGACGTTTTGAAATCTGAAATCGTCCAACTAATATTATTCATATAATAAATTAGCATAATAATAATATATTATCCGAGATCAATTTATTGTATATTAAAAATATGTTATAACCTGAATTTGAAACTTGAAGCTCAATAAAAAAAATATACGATATAGCCATCATGTACATTATTATTATATTATGTTTCTTAACATTGAGAGGAGGTCACGGAATTTAGGCAACCTTAAACTTTAATTAACCTTTTAAACTTTTATCTTTTACCCAGTTAAATAAACACTAATGCTTATTATTATTATTATTATTTATTTACTTATTTTGTAATATATGAGCATTTGCCTTACATAGTGGCACCCACCCGACAGCGAAGAGGGTCCTTAAAATGGCTGAAACTCCCCAAAATGTAACTTAATACCATACGAATTAGAATTAAGCACATATATTTTTTTTTAAATCTATACATTTCTAATTTATTTTTAAATATCTCATCCAAACATTCCCATTCTAGATTTGATAACGTTATGAGATCGATCATTACAGGTATGTTATACTTTTACCGGTCGAAACGTGTTCTTTTTTCTCTTCCGGCTCTTTTAGCTTGCGGACTGCCGCCCTCGGAAGCATTCTTGGAAAAAGCATCATCATCATCGAAAAAGCTATACAAGTAATACCAATGGGCGTCCAACCTGTAAAGAAAAAACCATCAGTACTAAAAAGATTTTCCTTTTATATCTAAGATATGAACATTTAATGCAAAATTCCTCATACGTTTGTTTACATAAAACGGAAAAAAGTTTACCTTGTTTCAAATTAATTTTTTATGAGCGTTTAAATGTTTTCGACATTGGACTTTACCCTTAAACTAACGATTTCTCATGTTGTAATGATTTTTTTATTTGTTGTGATTCAAAAACGAATAACCGTAGGTCCGTATAGATGATACTTGAAAGTTCAAAATTTCACAAAATATTTATATTAGTTGTATCTTTTTTCAGCTCGAAAATCTAATTAATGTTTCTCGTAAGTAATTAATACCGTAGCTATTAAATCTTAAAAATAGGTAGTAAAATAAACTAATTTTATAGCAATAATATTATAAAATGTACTTAGAAACGCACTCAGAGTAGTTTTTCCCACACAATGATATCATATTATCACTGAATTCAAGTTTAACTTATTTAACAAATTGAATTTATAGTGATCTACTTGACACTCACTATACAACAGCTAGAATTGTACTCACTTGTTCATCTTTTTTATATTTGATGTTATCCGGAACATTTTTTTTTTTAAATTTAACTCTCATATTTTAGTTTTTTTAACGGCAACATAATATTATGCGAAAACAATTTTTTATGCAATTATTATTGATTATACTTATCAATAATACCTATATTTTTTTTCCTCTACAAAGTACATAGAACAATGTACAAAGGTAGGGTTATTCGTACGACGAAAACAATGCTTGTGTATTAATATTTATTATATAGTATGGTAAGAGTACTTACCCATCCACCATGCACCGATCCACCTAGGATCTTCATTGGTTATGGTCGGCGTTAGATTAGGGTCGATGAAATTTGTTAGCGTGTATGCCGACAGCATGTATCCCAACATAGGACCCGACATCCGTATGCACTGAACAATAGCTGTGAACAATTTATAAATCCTTTAAAAAGGTGTTTCGTGGCAATTAATCGAGAGAGTGGTGTATATCAGGGGTGGCCATATACAAAAGGCGTTTTGCTGATACTTTTAAGTTAATACCTATTTAATCAGTGCACTTTTCAGTTGAAAGGCTAAACTGTCTGCAGTGTTTAAATACGCCGTTAGTATACCAAGTATGACTATTATTTTTACTTCTACTACAAATAACTTCAATTCCTAATGCCACCACCCATCTAGCCAGGTAAATCGTTAAGTTAAGACTGCCTCAGTATTAAATTTTGATTTTTTTGCTAAATGTTTTTCTGAAAACCATGGTTTTTAAAACCATCGTACAAGAACATTTTCTGAAGTGGGGCACTTGTGGGCCACCTCAGATACTTCGCTTAAAAGTGCCGGTAAAATATTTCACTAGCTTTTTGTTTTAAAAACTTACCCAAAAGCACGGGTACCGCATTCTTGCGAACGTTATCATCCAAGTACGCTGCACCACAAGTCCAGTACAATGAACCACCCAAGCCCAGCATCGCGTGCGCGGCACACAACAGGAAAGCAGCCACGTTCCATAACTGCTCGTTATGACAGTCTTCATACAATGGTTGACCATCGCAGATTTTTTCATTTTGTCCTTTATTGCACATGAACAAAACGTAATTTATTTTTTATTTTTTAAATTCCTACAAATCAATGGCAGCTACCAGTATTATGGTGTTCATATGTTTTATAAGAATATACTTAGATCCAGTCCCCGGGCAAGCTAATTATAATTTTTAACTGAGTTAAGTTAAACTGATAAAAATCATTTTAAAAAGTTTAAATTTAATAGTTATCCTAATTTTTTTTTAACTTAGTTAAGTTAAAAGTTATTTGAAAACTTAAAATTGACTTATTAACTTAAGTCGAGTTACTTATTTATATATATTTTTAATATTTAAACAACTAGTTATATAGTTTAAAATAATAAAAATTAAATGTTAATCCATTATTTATCATCAATAATAATTTTATTACATTTATTTTTTAATTTTTTAATTATTTAAAAATGGACGAAATGAGATATGATTAAAAGTAACTCGTTATTTTTTCTATTAAGTTTATATCAATAAAAATCAGTTAAGTTAAAAAACATTGAGTTAATGAAAATTTTAATTTAAAAAGTTAAGTTAAAAAGTTAAAATTAACTTAACTTAAACTTTTTAACCTATTTACGTCAAGGCTTGCTTAGATCCCAAAACATATCATTGATTAATATTTATTAATATATTTCTTAATTCAAAGTTAGGGTTTTTATTTTGTTTAAGAGTAGTTTTTGTAAAAGTGTAACAGTGTTGTTGGAAATTATTATCCTTATTTTATTTTTGTACTTCATACTTACTCGAGATGTTACTGAGAAGAGAAGTTGAGTTCACGCTGTCGCCGTACTCGACGGTGTACTGAAGGATCTCTTCGCCTGGCCCGTAAATAATGTGTGGCAGGAGACGAACAAAACAGGAGAGACCGACGAAAAAGGAACCGATGGCCAGCCAACGCGTCCGATGTCCTTTACCGGCCATGTGGGCCGTCACCATGAACGATATAAGTGAAAATAAATCCCAAGTGCTTGAAATGATACCTAAACATATAGGTAAACGCCAATTAATAATTTTTCCAAACACTACAATTTAAATATAAGTAACTAAAAATCACTCTGACATAAGAAAGAATGCAAGTGAGTCAATGTAATGGATAGTGTTAAATTTTAATTCAATGATTTAAAATCATTGTACATGAAAAATGATTCTGAGCGAAGCCGGTCTGTAAGTCTATAATATTACACTTAGTATTTAGTATATTTGATGATATTATTGTGATTAAAATAATTTATTTTACTATTAAGCATTAGTGCTATAGCAGATAAAATTCATTTTTGCCAAAGAAAAAATACATTTGAAAAGTCATTGTGCGTATAAAATATAATAATACACTCTAAAAGTTTCATGTACCTATAACTACGAAAAATATTTTTAAATTGCAACAAAATAACTTAAATCATTATTCTTAGTTATTTAATATGTAATATTTTGTATAC